CTCCTGGTCTGATTGGGGAGGGGACCAGAGAAAACTACAGAGTTTTACCATAGCACCCATGCTATGGGGGCCATGTCACCCACATGGCATTTGCATTTCTACTTGTGTGCTGATGTGTCTGCCATCACGAGTACAACTGAGTAGATAAAACTTGAAAAGTTACTTTTACTGAAGTGTACGTGATTGTCAGGGCAATGGAAAAGATAGAAAAAAATAATTTCACTGTCTTTTATTCTAAGGTTTTCCACATAGTGATGTAATAAATAATCACCTGGTCTTTATCAGGTCTTAAGAATGCAAAAGGACCATGTGATAAAGTACACCTTTACTCGTTTCAAAGGAAGAAAAAGTCAAAATAGCAACCAGGTTCTTCAAATAAAATTTCTTTATTTGAAACTTTTGATCATGCACTTGATTACAAAGCACTGATCATCAGATAGTGTGAGTGTAGAGAGTTGAAAATAGCTTTCTAGTAAAATCTGGTATCAGACATAAACTAGGGAAAACAGCCCCGCCCCCCCAAAATCTCAGACTCAGCTTCTGATTTGAGTTTTAACTGTCTATGTAAACAAATTGATGAAGGTCTGGCTGAGGGGTTCTCAGAAGCTGAGGTCTTAAGAACAGTGCTCAAGATAATTAAGCCGGGTACCTTTAAAGACATGCTCATGACCAAAGACACCCTGACCTTTGCTGAGTTAAAAAGGTTCCTTAAAGCACACCTTAGAGATAAGAGCAGTACTGAATTGTTCCAGGAACTAAGTAACGCAAAGCAACATGATAAAGAAAGCCCACAACAGTTTATGTATAGACTAATGGGGGTCAAGCAGCGCATAACGTTTGCTTCTAAACAAGGTACAGACTTCCAATATGATAGCAAACTGGTGCAGGGAGTGTTTCTTCATTCACTTTACCAGGGGATGAATGAAACATGCTCATACATCAGACGGGATCTTCAACCACATCTTTCAGACATGAATGTGACTAATGACTTTATACTCGATGTGATCACGAGATCACTGAGGGACGACACCGAGAGGAAAACCAGGTTGGGACAGGTATGCAAACAAAAAGCAATCAGTATCAATACAGCCCAGCTGGACAGTGACAAACAGAATGCCATTCAAGTGCAGGCAGAGGTGCAGGCCAATCGCAGTGCTATACAGGAGTTAACAGCCCAAGTGTCATATTTGGCCAAAAGTTTGGAGAAAGCCATCACACCGGTAGTGAATGTGGCAACAGAAAACACCTACAACCCTTTGCCACACATAAAACAGAGAGATGAAGCCCTGAGAATTCAGAAGAGTAATGCTGAAAGTCTTGTTTCGGTGGTTCACACAGAGCAACCCCTGGAAGAGTCAGAATGTCCAGTATTAAGAGTTGGAAAGAAGG